GTCATATAATCGATGATGTCCAATGTTCAGTCTTGACACCTATTTGAAAGTGCAGTGTTATCGTGTGGCTCATATGTTATGTGCGCCAATTGAACCATTCCGTTTCACTGTGACGATCACTGCCTACCCAAAAGTTCTGCAACCGACCGACATAACTGATTGTTCTTCGGTCGTTCACTACATGTTACACTCAACAAAATTAGACTCGAGCCTAAAATAATAAAATATTTTAGATTCTGAGTGGTGCGAGGAAGCTAGTGGTTTTCAATGATGTTTATTTATTTTTTTACTTTTTTTTTTATTTTTATTTTTTTATCCGGTATACAAAATTTATATCAGAAGGAGAGCTTCAATTTCAACATCTAGATCTTATCGTTTAGTAAATTGGATTCAGATGGTACTATACAGAGGTCATTTTCAGCAAAATTAGAGTCGGGCCTAAAATAATAAACTATTTTTAAATTTATAATTTTAAATTTTTAAATGTTTATTTTAACTGCGGTTATAATATATAAGTGTTATATTATAGAGAGAACGCCTTCGAAATTCAGCGATCTTATACTATTATGGACATTAAATAAAACACATACCTACCAAACTTATAACAGTATAATAATATAGTAGGTAGCTACTAGTTATTATACATACTTATACAAATTTCTTTTCAGTCAGTCTTATAATCGATTATGTTCAGTCTTGGTCTTTTTATGTGGCTCGTATGTCCCAAATGACAAATAGTATGCAGTTCCAGCGTGATCGTCTACGACGTGTCTAAGAAACTTTCGTCGGAAAACTATAACTATGACGGACTTTGACTGATCGTTCATCGATCGTGCACTACACGTCATATGTAGCGAAACTAGAGTAAAAAAATAAATGAATAAAATATATTCAACGCAACGAAATCACATACGACGCCGGCTGCACACGCCGAAGAGTGATAACTAGTGAATTCTCATCCAACCTTCGTCAGAGACGAAACAGCGTAGAAAAAGGTAAATAAATATTGTTATTCGAGATTATCAAGTACAGAAATTATAATTTTAGATTCTGAGTGGAACGATGAATGTATTGATTTTACAATGATGTGTGTCTTTTTTTTAAATTTATTTTTTATTTTTGAATCTGTACGAAAATTAGCAAATTATTTTGAGTTAAGAATTCGTGAACATTTTTCTTTTTAAATCTAAGATTTTAAAATGTAATACAAGATTCCTTATAAGATTATCTATCTTTTTCGAAATAAAAATGTCAATAAGAAAGTCAAATTAAATTTTTATGAGCGTTTGAAATTCAAATTTTTTCAACATTGGATATTCACTCGATTTCTCATTAAGCGATTTCTTTAGTTTGTTGTAATTCAAAAACAAATAATTGTAGATACATGAAAATTGTACTGAATGTTCATATTAGCATTTTCTATACACTGTACAATTTTGAAAATATTTTGACTCTTTTTGAGTTGTTTACGGACATTTTCAGTTTTCAATTTTTTTAGTTTTTTTTCTATAAATATCAATAAAGTTTTATCTGTTGAGCCAAAAAGTGTAAAAATTTAATACAAGGCTCCTGATATATTGTTACAATAGCAATTGAAAAATATTAAAAATAAATAGGCACAATTTTTTTTTATAAGCATTTAAAGATCGAATTTTTACTAAATTTATCAAAATCTCGAAAGTTATCAATCATTGTAATTAATAAATTATAAAATGTTCAGTTTTTATAGCTAAGGATTGCAAATTTAAAATAAAAGTTCTCATAAATAGTTCATACTGTAACCAAAAAATCTAAAAAATATATGAACACAGTAATTTTTTACAGACATTTTAAATTAAAATTTGGACGAAATTACATAATAATAAACCTTTTTTTTCTTTTCGTGTTTGAACCAACGGCGCCGCGGGGACTGCTTTTGCAATACTTCCGCGACGCCGCCATCGTTTATTTAAAAAATCAATGCATCAAATAATTATACATACGTGAGGGGGGTAGATAGGACAATACCCCGACTTACCTCGCTCTTAAACATAATAAAAAACCTAGAATAACTATTTTAGTTATTTTGTTGTGATTGTATAATATTATTCGTGGGTACTTGAAACTTCTTAAGTATACTACTATATCTATGATAGTATCAGGGTTTGTTGTTGGTGTATAACGCGTTATAAGTACCTAATGGATATTGTGATATGATTAATTTGGAATTCATTATAGGTCAATTTTTTTTAATACCATAGATAAGTATATAATACGTCTTATACCTAGAAGGACATACCGTCTCCGCTCAGAATCGTTTTTCTTATACAATGATATTATATCATTGAATTCAAATTTAATATTATCCATTATACAGTGACCCACTTGTAACCTACTGTACAGCAAAGCGACACCCACCTTTATGTTGTTATAACTTACTATTATTATACTACTTTATTTTACAATCTGTACCTAACTGCATTATTGAATGCATTTGTATTCATGAGAGAAAGGCGATAAATAGTGATACAAGTGATACCGAGTGATACATAATATGTAACGAGTCTTAGATTATTATAATAGGCTATTATAATAATGGTGGGTGATCAATTATATTGAGGGGGGCTACATTTTCAATGTTATGTTTCCTGGGGGTCTCTGCTCTTCATACCTCCCTATAGACGCTTTATTTTAATGAAATACATTTAAAAAAAAAAAATCATGCTCATCTTTACTATCAATTACGACAAAACAATTTCAAAATATTTCCATGTACGTATATAAAATGCTAATAATATAAGCATTTGGTGAAAATATCATGAACAGTTATTCGTTTTTGAATTATACAACAAAATATCAAAAATTGATTGATTAGAAATAATTAATTTAAGGTCGATAAATGACATACCTTGTGACATAGGTACCCGCCCCGTCGAGCAAACAATAACCATTCTATCTTTGATCGTGAGTTCGAAAATGCGAGATAGAAACGATTTCTCTCTCCGTTATGTTGGCTTCAAGTCCTAAACATAGTGTAGAATGTAGAGATGCACTGCAGTTCGGCATTCGACAATCCATAATAGGTAGGTATGTTATAATATATGCTCGGACCTTGGCAAATGCCCTACTGCAGAAGTGCTCGTGCATAATATAATAGATCAGTGGTTCCCAATTATTATGAAGCTACGGCCCCTAACTAAAACTTAAATTGGTCAGGGAACTTCTCTTTTGTAAATACCTACTTTTAATTTTGAATAGCCCAATTATCAAATTTGTTCAGGTAAAGCGAGTTTCAATAGTCCAAAACTACACGGAATTTCAACGAATTTAATCATTTTATTAAAGTAAAATCAAAATCAAAAATTATTACAGTATTACAGAACCGTGGACACGCAGACATTTGGGGGTCCTAGATAAAGGACCTAGCATATAACTCGAAGCATATTATAATACCTAAGTATATTATAATAGCGTATCCGATTATAAATAATAATGCAGTTATTATGTATTATAGTGTAATATGTAATGAATAAATAATGCATAAAAATTATAACAAATTATAGAACATAGTAGTGATGATAATACCTAATTGGTTTAATATATTTTAAATATTATTTAACAATGTATTCAACATTGAAACCATGGAAAAGGTTAAATTATACAATAAAAAGTTTTAAAGCAATTCATAGTAGTTTTCTCATAAAAAAAAAATCAATATGAACAAAAATGAAATAGTCAATATTGATATTGAAAATAGTCCATTTTTAAAATCAAAATTAATATATTAAACAGTTAACGGAATAAAAAAAAACATAAAAATGTATAATATAATGTTGTACATTCTAAAATTATTTAGATAGTAAATTATATACTATACTACTATAGTGTATACAAGAAATAAAAAATTTATATGAAAAATTATAAAACATAATAATACCTAGTAGTTTTAATATCTTTTAAAATATAATTATCAATGTATACAGCAATATTAAAAATATAATATTATTGATAGTTGATTTTATATATTTAGTTAATATACAATTCATAACAATAAACAGTTATCGTAATAGAGTTAACAATTCATTGCATTATTAACCATAATGCATTAAACTTGCACTCAACATTACGAGAACAAAAATTGGCAATATTTATAAAATTATTAATATTGTCCCGATGAAAACCAACACAAAATAGTTAACAAAATCGGAAAAAGTAGAATTTAATAAATATAATTCTTTCATCTTTGTGAACTATCAATCATATTAACAGAATTAGAAATTGTAATAATAACAACAATTTCAAACAATTATTAATAATAGTTATTATTTTCAGTTTAACAGAAAATATTCCACAATTTAATAATACCTACTGATCATTTTAAAAACCAAATTAAATTCCATAATAATATGATAACTTGAATAATGTTGAAAAGGACCTCCAATATGTTAAAATTATATTGAAAAAATTAATTAATTTAGAAATTATGTAAGTCTGGTAAGAATAACAAATGTGTGATACAATTAGTAATAGGTATACATTTTTTTTTTTTATATAATTATTAGGTAGGTATATAAAGTTTCCTGATGAAATAATTTAACTTATTGTTGTTGAGTATTTAATTTTTGCCATATTCAACAATTGAAAATAATTATTTACAAAAATGTACATATATACATATAATAGGGTATAATATGAACAAATAATATTATATATTATAATAACGTTTATAATTTTAAATATATGTACCTATATTTTTTTTTAATAACTGTAGTTGAGTGAGAACATCATGGGGAGTAAACGGCGAGTAATCTTGTCACTTGGTTTGAATTATTGAGCACTTTTTTAATGATTTGAATGAAAAAAGTTGATTCAGAAATTTATTTACGTTTGAAATACCTATTGTCACAAAATGTAGGCAGTTAAATAAAACTGAGTTTAAAATTAATTCTCAACAATAAAATTATACTTCATTCATCATTTCTTGTCCTTACACTAATCAACATCGTAACTATATTTGTCGGTCAACGGTCGAGTTCATCATCGTCGTCAATAGCCATAGAAAACCAAGGTACAGCATCCACGGGGATATCATCAACCCTTCGAGTTCTAAGACCCAGTATGGATTTGATGTTATTTATAAACTAATCATAAAACAAAATAAATTATTTAAAATCCTTAAAACCTATGGTTGTTCTTTTAATATTTACTTCGGAACAGGGTTTTTCGGTCGTGACAATCCATGATGTATCCACGAATTGGTTTCTAAGGAAACCTAATGCGTAACCCTCTCTTGTTAGACCTCTCGACCAGTCTTCTTCACAATACGACAAGTCAACGGCTATATATCCCAAGCTATTGCTGTCGCTTAAATGGAGCAACAAGTTCTGTAAGGAATGATACAAGTACAATATAAAATGTTAGTTGAAACCATAGATGATTTGATATTATATGATATTCAATATACTGACGAAGAAGTTATCAGTTAGGACTCCGTCGGGTGTAACATAGAGTATGCTATTGAGCGTACTCTTTATACTGGATAAATAGTTTATAGTACTTTTTATGTCATCATATTCTTCCGACGACGTGTCAGCATCAATGCTTTCTGCGTGAACATGTCTACGATTCAAACGGGTCATTTGCTCCTACGGAAATAACAAATTTTTAAAAATGTTCTTAACATTTGAATTTTTTTTTATCAAAAGCAAATGCCATTACTTCAATCCGTGACGATACTCCAACAACAACTATTGAGACCTTTTTTGGGCATATTACCATAGGAAGTTGAAAGCATGTAGTCCTTCCATGTCCTTTTGGCAACGAAACAATCACGTCGGTTTCTCCTTTAAAACACAAAATTGTATTAAATATAAAATAATTTCTTATGGTGGGGGGAGGGGTAGTGGTTATAGTCCACTTGGCCCCCTCCTGGCTACGTCATTGCACGCACATGATTATGTAGGTATCTATCAAGAATACATAAACGTAAAGGGAACAGAACGGTGAGCGGACAAACTGTTTATTAGTTATAACTAGAGCCCGGATTTATATGCATTTAAAAAGTGTCAAATATGATGCAAATATGCAAGGAAAAAGTGGCTCAATATGCAATTATATGCCATATGTTAAACATTATAAAATATGATCTTTTTTTAAAAAGAAAACACATTTTTACACCAAGGAAAGTAGGCACCTACTAGATATTCTATCAGAAACAAAAGAATAATTAAATAGTTAAACATTTAATACTTTAAAAACCAAAATGCAATATTTTATAATCTTAATTTTTTCATATTTTAGATTGTTTAAAATACAATGTCTAAAACTCTCAGAAAACTTAAAAAAAAGAATCAAAATAAAAAAAAATAAATTGAAAAAAAAATTTGAAAAATTGAGTTACTGCTTTATTCATTGCGCACGTTGAATAGTAACAACATAGTATGCCGAAATTCGGGTGTATGTGATTTATTGTTGTTAATATAATATTATCTATTCGTGCTCCAATCTCATGAAGTGTTGCAAAAATTATAATATTTAAAGAATAAGAGACCCTGTCAACGATTTTTGTCTTTTAAAATTACTAAAATGTATTTATCTTAAATTAAAATAGATAATTTTTGCTGGAGTATTGCGAAAGCAGTCCCAGCGGTGCCGTCGGTTTAAACAGTAAAAAAAAAAAAAGGTAATTTATTAAAAACCCATTAAATATGCATGTTATATGCATTTATGAACCAATATGCAATAATCCTCTAAATATGCAAAATATGCAATATACAATTTGGTGTTTAAATTCAGTGTGAGATGAACAGCCGACATTTTGAAAGCTTCTAGACGTGCATACACTTAGTACAAATATGCAAATGCATATAAATCCGAGCTCTAGTTATAACATATTTATTTATTATTATTTTTAATAGTCTGACCTATAAGGACAATATGGAACCCCGACCAGTTTTTCCTGTAAGATACATCATGAACCTTTTTTTTATTGCTACATTATACATTTTAATTAAAGTAACTACATATAAAGTGTCAGATATTTCCGTTAGTATAGTGGCCCATGTTTAAGTGTCCAAATTTAATTAAATAATTGATTGAATGCAATCTGAAACTTCAGGTAAATATTGCTATGAATTATTCTTCTGAAAATTATTATTATAATATTTCTTTCCCAAAATGTTCAGATAAATCTGTTACATTTTTTACATAGGTAAAAATATACCTTGGAATCTCAAACATCTTGTTACTTATAGTTATGTCATATTGGCTATTGCAGAGTATCTACAGACGATTAATTGAGGCACACAAATACCAAGGATGATTTCGTGGTAAAGATTAGGAACTTTGTTATTTCACCGGACACATTTTTTTTTGAAATTTTAGATTCCGAGCCGAGCGATGAATGTATTGGTTTTACAATGATGTGTGTTTTATTATTTTATTTTTATTTTTAGTGTCTGTGTATACGATAAGTAGTCGAAATAATGCTTCGATATTCAATTCGGTATCTTGATCGATAGAAAAGTGAATATAGTTTTTGCATAGGGGAACTTAAAATTAGCAGTAGTGTTCAAAACAGCAGGGAAAACAAAAATTTAAATTTCAGAAAAACATAAATTTTTCTCAAAATAGGTTTTCGACAAAATCCATTTTGGTTTTTGGTGTAACTCTAACACAAATGATTGTTGATACATGAAATTTTCAACGAATGTTTATATTATCATTTTATAATATACACCATAAACCATTCAAAATATTTTGACTTGCTATGATAGCTGTATACGGACACTTTCAGTTTCCATTTTTTTTTTTTTTATCTATAAATGTCAATACAATTTTATTTGTTGGGTCAAAATGTTGAAAATTTAATAAAAGGCATCTAATATAAATTATTACAATAGTAGTTGAAAAATATTAAAAATACATTGTCACATTTTTTTTTAACCATTAAAAGTAAGAATTTTGATAAAATACGTAAAAAGCACGAAAATGTACAAATTCATACACTTGAGAAAATATTTTAAATTGTCTCTTGTTGTTAACGTACATTTTCGATTTTCAATTTTTTTAATTTTTTTTTCTATAAATAATATTAATTCGTTGGGTCAAAAAACTTGAAAATTAGATGCAATGCTTCAGATATTTTGATACAACAACAGTTGAAAAATATTTGAAATACATATATGCGTACTATTTTCTTGAAATAATTTAAAGTTTGATTTTTGACAACATTTATCAATTTAAAAATTTAAAAATGATTTCGTAGTTTAGAATATTCAAATTGTTTAGCTAAGAATGGAAAATTTAAAACATGGTTCCAACGTAAGTAGTAAATTCTGTAACTAAAAAATATTAAAATTTAATAACTAAAACATTTTTTTATACTTATTTTAAGATTAAATATGGACTATAATATTACGTATTAAATAACCAAGAATAACCATTTTAATTATTTTTTTGTTATTTTATAATATGAATTTAAATTGCCGGCTACCGTATTAATAATAAGTAATTACATTATAAGTATCAAATATTCTAGACTGCCAAACAGAATCCACTCAGAATCGTTGTCCGCATTCAATGATATTATATCAGTGAATTCAAATTTAAATACTATCTATTACAGTGACCCACTTGTAAGCTAGGTACCTACTATAGGTACAGCAGACCGACATCCACTTACCCGCTTTTTATTATAGTTTTTTAAAATCATACATATATCAACGAGTTAAGAACGATGGTGCAATTAGAATTTGTCGACCGAACTTAGTTTTGAAGTCATAACCTAAAGAAGTTTTGAAGTTATAACGTATAAGGAAAGTTTGATTTCTGCGGTTTTATGCATTTGCAAAACGCTTTTAATTGTCTCTGTTTAACTTTCTAGATAAGGTAAAAGAAAATTTAATAAAAATATTATCTAGATTAAAAATATAATTACCTCATTTTTATCTAGATAAAAAAACAGATTAATACACAGTTTATAGGTTTTGTAAACTAAATGTACACTATATTTACAAACGCATATTTAGAATTTTATATTTTATATAATTTATTCTATCAATACCTACAGTATATATTAAATTAATGATTTTTTATAAAAAAAAAAGGAACGTTATAATTAACATTGAACATTTTAAATTATCTAGACACTTAATTTTATTGTTTAATTAATTAATGACTTTCTTAGATAAAATTGATTTATTGCAATACAAACATAACAATCAATGGAGATAATTAAATCTAAAAAAAACGGACAATTTATATTTTGTTTGGTTTTTAAAATTATAAATTAAAAATTACTACACAGTTCGAATGATGCCTTTTGAACTAATTGTTGCATTTGGAGCTTTACTTTCAATTTCAAATAAGTATTAAAAATTATAGAAAACCGTTAAAAATTAAGTGAAATTAATAACAATGTTATTTAATCATCTGCAGACTGCAGGTATCCAGATAACTGTTTTATTCACCTTAATATGATAAAAATTAGCTGTCTATTTATGTCACCTTTATAAAATAAAAAGATAAACATTTTTATCTATATGATGCACAGCACTGCTTGCAATTTACAGTGTAAAAAGTATATTTACTAGTGCAGGTATAGCAAAATTATTTCGACGCTCGGAGTTGCCCGATTGCGGCCCGGATTCAGGTAGTCGTTTTATCCCAAATATAAGTATCCCGATTACGTCCAAAGACACATTGGTTCACAAAATACCTTTTAATTAATATATATATAATAATATGTTTAATCACCAAATAATAAAGTATTTCAAAATTATTATGAAACAAGTATAAAGTATAAAATTTATTTAAATACATGGCAAGTATATTTTGTATTTTAAATACTTTATGAATGGATGTATTTGTATACAATTTTAAAAGTATATATGTATACAAATAGTTAAATATTAAAATAATAAATTGTTGACAATAAAAAAAAGACATGAAATATAATTAAGTTGTCAATAAACAGGTACCTAGTCGAATATTAAAATAATAAATTGTTTACAATAATATTTAAAATATTGTAAAAAGTCAAATATGTGAAGTACAAATAATATGTCAATGAATAGTAATATAATTATAGTGTTAGAGGCAGATTTTTAAAATTTATTATTTTTACAAAATCAAAATTAGATATTTCCAAGTTTTTTAATTTTGTAATTTGGGTTAGTATGAATTTTTTTTTAATAATTTGTTTAGTTTATTCCCGAGGAGTACAAACAATAGATTAGATATACGATAGTTATATTTATGTCAATATACGTATCGGACGCAATCAGGATATTTATTTAGTTTTGATAACCACTTCAATTAATATTTCCTACCTATTATGGAAGGGCCGCAATCGGGATAGGTGAAAAGGTAAAAAGTTTACTTTGGGTCGCTATCGGCGACGCCCTCGACGCTAAGTGTCAAAAATTACCTTTTATTCGAGATTGCCATTATATTATGAAAAATGTTATATGAATTATTGTAATAAAAAATAATTCGAAATCGAATTTTAATTTTTTTTAACCTTTTCTGAAAGACGTCAAAGACATTGAAAAAGTACTAACATTGAAAATAAAAATAATATATATTATTTAATATATTATAATATAAATACCTATAAATATTTTTAGCAAGCCCACAAAATGTTTTCGTGTGCCATCCCTAAACTAGTGGTTCCTTACGGCTCACATCTCCTCTATTGACCATAATTGTATTGCTCTATTCGGAGTTTTTTCGGGAGAACAAGCTATACTAAATCATTGGTAGGTATCTAACATACATTCCGAACATTAAATATACAATTGAAGTCTAGTGGAATAGACGCTTTATATTTTGTATTAAAATATATATTGTAGGTATTTACTTTTCAAAATTTTAACCACCGCATTTCTTTGCGTTATATTTTTGAAATGCTTGTACTCAAAGTAGTCCTCCATCAACGAGTTCAGCAAAGAATCTGCTGGCGCACCATTTGGGATTTTGTCATAAAATCTTAAGTCTGCCATCTTATACCTGTGAGATAATTATTATTAAAATTAATTATACCAAACCATGGTAATGGTTTGTAAATACGACCAATGAAACAACGTTTTAAAATATCGAATGGAACTTCGCACGAAACAATTTTCAGACCCATATAATATAAAATTGGATGTATTGGCCCACATTTCTGCTATAAACTAAATATGAGAACATTGATAAAATGATTCATCAAAATATGATCCATCTGATTAATCTGACGATCATTCTTATAATGTGTTTAAAAGTAATATTAAAATTAATATCTTAATATTATTGGTGAAAAATTATGAGGTCAAGGTTGAAAATTCCGTAAATTAAAAAGTAGTTTTCATAAGAATAGGAAAAATAATTAAGGAAAAACTGAAATTTTCACTCAAAATCAGGTTTTGACAAAACTGATTTTGATCTTTGGTATAACGCTAAAAAAAATTGATTATACATGACATTTTCAGGGAATGTTTATACTAGCATTTTCTATACCTACACCATAACATTTTGACTCTTTTTGACCTAGTTATGCAAGTAAATTTGTTTTTTATAAGGACACATTTTTTTTAAAAGTATTTATAGTGTACATTTTGAGAACATTCATAGATTATTTTGTACAGTTAAAAATATATACAATTTTTAATTTTTAAAGCTAAGAATTGAAATTTTTATACAAGGTGTCTCATATTAAATAGTTCATACTGTAACCAAATAATCTAAAAATGATATAAACACATTATTTGTTAGTATATTATATTTTAAGTTACAATTTGGACGAATCAGATATTTATGTGGAATAATTATTAAATTATTTATAACTTAGTATAATTACGTTTTTAGTTATTTTTTGATAATTTAAAAATATTATTAGATATAATACATAGGCCGACAGACCGCGTTTTGTTCGAAATCATTTCTCATATGTAAAACGATTTTATATTATCATTGAATTTAAATTAAAAACATCCATTACAGTGACTCACACAACAGAACCTATACATCAGAACCTACCTACAGCAGAGCTGTTCCCCCCAGTTCCCTAACTTTTTTATTATTATTAAACTTAAAATGACGATTATATTATTATAATATTAGGTATTAAACTATTTTATTTTAATTGTACTAATAAATAATACTATTTAACATAGGTAGGTACCTATGTACGACCAAATATAATATATTTCAATGAAAATAATGTTATCAATTATCATATTTTGTTAATTGCAGAACATAGGTCAATATAGGACATTTTACATACGGAATCAAAATATTGTTTCCCGCGATGATCTATTGGTTTATAATAGGCGATGACAAACGTTACGTACCTTTTCGAAATTCAAATATCAAAACGAGATAACGACGATAACAACGGTTTTGCAAATTACGATGTTTTGATATGTATAATATGCACGTGAGTAGTCTCCGGTTTAGCTTTTCAAATATCAGCCGGGCGCATAAATGTACTGTGAAATAATAGTGTGACTGGCGACTGCTGTTACACCGTGTCTCTGAGTCGTTAAATGGCTGTGTTCCACCTTCCCACTCCACTGAGCCGCGTAGAGTGATAAATTTAGTGAAGAAGGGGAACCTGTGTAACAAGTATTTCGTGAACACACGTGTTCGTTGGAGTTTATTTTGAATAAAACCAATGTACACAAACTTATTTTATAATGAAATAAAAATTGAAGTACAGTGTAAATAATCGCATACTGTCTATCGAAAAAAAAATTTGGAATCTCCACCAAAAAGGAACCTTATATTAGTCTTATAAGTTTTTTGACTGAGTTAAAATTGTTTTATCGACATTAATTTTAAAACCAAAAACCAATAGAAATGGAAAATTATATAATATGCTTGTAAATAGCACAACATGCGTCAAAATATTTTGAAAATATTTGATAGAACCATTTCAATCCAATCCAGTGTAATATACACCTATACACCGCTTGTTTTGAGGCAACCAAAATTATAATAATATATTAATCATTGAAGTGGCTCATATTTTTTATGCATATAGACCCATAAGCTGGGGAAAATTAACACACACCTATAGTAGTCCAATTTTAATTTTGAATACCTAATAATTTGAATTTTTTTCTGTGTTTTGTAGGAAAACTTTTAAATTTGTTTTGTCTCATCGCCCCTTGAATATACATATTCGTTTTGATAAATTAAGTGAATTCATTTGGAACCGTAGTACACTTGTATTACAGGCAGTACAGTAGTGCCTACACACTCTTTTTATCGAATATCTATATTCAAATAAAAATAGAATGGAAGGTAACGATTTCAAATCTTTTTAAAAATTAAAATTGGACTACCAGAAGTGAGTTAATTTTTGCCATCTTGGCTTTATATTCATTGTCATTTTTCGATTTTACTCTTACTAAGTACAAACATTTTTCCGAACGTGTCCATGCAGTGTGGCAGTGTAATCGAAGAATTGTGCATGCGCGTACGTGCGTTATAGAATGTTGTCGCCTCGTTTCACCCTCATACAATGACACAATACATGTTTAACAAAGACATTTTGACTGCACCCTATCTGTACGGGGGTGGCAACGACAACTGTTATAACCGTGAAATGGTGGTAGCCGGCTACGAGTGCGTTTGGTTCGGCGACTGTCACAGCGGGGGTTGCGGTGAAATTCACAGATGTATATCTCGCAGACGCCATAAGTGACAATAGCAATGGCTATAGACATAATATTTATTGATCGTCCAGCTACGAATCGTCACAAAGGGGCTCTTATTATTATTATTATTTTTTTTTTTTTATATATAGATGTAGTCTCAATAATACCAACAGTAAATAATTGTAACAATTTTGCAGGCATGTGGCACTGAAGATCATTGAAGATAACTCGATAACTACGATGCTACAAATCCATATATTGGGTAGTTAGTAGGCATATTTAAGCCAAAAACTTGTTAAAATTTAAATGATCAAATGCTGATTATAGTAAGTATTAAATAATTTTTAATATGTTTTAAAGATTCGGTTATTTTATAGATTCTGAGGGGAGCGATTTTTTTTTGTGTCTGTTATCACTGTTTGGGGCAGTAAAACGGCTTTGATTTTCTACAACAGTATCTTGTTGGAAGGGAAAGAGAATCTAGTTGGTGCCTTGAGGAGGTCAAAATTTAAAATTCCCAATAGTTTTCCAAAGCGCCGGGAAGACAATTTCTAATTGTATTAGTTTTTTTTTCTATGAATGTCAATAAAATGTAATTTATTGGGTAAAAAAGCTTGAAAATGTAATACAAGGCTCTCAGTATATTGTTACAATGAAATTTGAAAAATATAAGAAATCCATAATCACAATTTTTTTTTATAAGCATTTAAAGTTTAAATCTTGATAAAATACGTAAAAATCAAGAAAATGTGCAAATTATTTTGGGTTAGAAATTCCTAAATATTTTTCTTTTTAATCTATGATTTTAAAACAAAATACAAGATTGCTTATAAGTTTTTTTACTAAAAAAAAAAAAAAAATTCCACAAGAAAGTCAAATTAAATTTCTATTAGTGTTTTAAGTTCATGTTTTTACAACATTGGATATTCACTCGAATTCTCAAGTAGTGATTTTCTAGATTATTGTAATTTAAAAACGAATAACTCTAGATACATACAAATTTCACTGAATGTTTATATTTTCATTTCTTATACACCATAAAACTTTGAAATATGTTGACTCGTTTTGAACTGTTAACGGATGTTTTCAGTTTTAAATTTTTTTAGCTTTTTTGTCTAGAATTGTTAATTCAATTTTATTTGTTGTGTAAAAAACCTTGAATATTTAATAGCAAGATATATTGTTATTATATCAGTTGAAAAATATTAAAAATACATACTCACGATTTTTTTTGTATCAGAATTTAAAGCTCAAGTATTGAAAAAATAAGTAGAATTCACGAAAATGTGAAAAATTAATTATTTTAGATTATAAATCATTTCCAAAAAATTAACCAAAAAATAGCTTATAATATAATACCTACATTCCTAATTAAATTAAGAGTCCAAGAAAAATTATATATACCTACATAAATAATCATCATCGGTTTTAAATACGTAGATTTCATTAGAATATGTTTGGACCGAATTTCGATTAGAAATTTGTTTGTAACTATTGACTCTCACCTTATCATATCTGAAAATCAACAAATAATATTTTACATTTATTTTGAAACACCTAACCATCATGCTAATATAAGTAAAATAAAATATTATAATCTACCTAGCTATATCTAACTATAATTGTGAATTTCAACGGATTACCTACTTATATATAAATGCATATTTTTAAGGTAAATGATGTAGTGTTATTTTATGTCATAAACACACATACCTATTTTGACGTATTGGTATTTGATTACATTAAGTCGTTATTAGGTAGGCATATAAGTTATAACCTTTAGGCTTTAATGTATTAATAATACGCTTATGATAAGACGAAATACCTACGCAATCGTTGATATCATGTTTATGAAAACGACTTCAGCGTATAGCCTGTAAATATTAAATTTATCTTATTATAGGTGGGATAAAGCAACAAATTTGTATTAAAAAATTTTAAATATGTAAGTATTTTTTTGTTATTTAAAAAATTAGTGAAGAACTGTCATGACTATTCAAATGCATTTCTCATATGCTCTAAAATTGGGAAAATTAAAAGATACAATCCGAATATAAGTGGAGTATTAAATAAAAAATTTCTTAACAATAAATAATATTAAGCAATTAGTAATAATATTATGCTAAATGAAATATTCTTGTGATATAAAATATAATTCCATGAAATTTTCTTATAATTTACGTGGAAATAAATAAAACAAACCTTGTAACAGCAATTAAAATGTAGGTAACACATTTATAGCACTAAAAAGAAATCTATTGTTATGATAAATAGGTATATAATATTATGTCGTAGACCAGCGGTTCCCAACCTGTGCACCGAGCTGCCCTTAGGGCACCAAGATCTTATCCGAGAATGAA